AGGTTTAATATTTTCCTTGGGATGTTTCCACTTAATGCGTTTTTGAAGTTCAGTTAGATATTCTGTTTTCCATCGCCTACAGAAGGTTTGATTTAGTGCTTTGAGTTTTGCCACCGATTCACTATGGAGGCAGGAGTTTCATTAACGTCTAATTCTGGTGGGGCTAGAAGATGTCCACCAATGAGAAAATGGCCTGGAGTAAGCGGCTCCAGGTCAGTAGGGTTATTTGAAGAGGGACTCAGTGGCCGTGAATTGAGGCACGCCTCAATACGGCATAAAAGAGTACTAAGCTCTTCAAAGGTGTATTTGTGGGCGGACGCAATTTTTCTAAAGTGGCTTTTGAAGCTTTTTACGCCCGCTTCCCACAGTCCTCCCATGTGAGGCGCTGCAGCGGGTATAAAATGCCACGTCAGCATTTGATGATTGTATTTCGAGATAGTTTTTTCTCGGGTTTCAGACAGAAAAGCTTTAAATTCAGATCGTAAGGATCGTGAGGCTCCGACAAAGTTAGTGCCGTTGTCGGAGTAGATATGTCGCGGGCATCCTCTTCTAGCCACGAACCGTGCGAACGCCGCTAGAAAAGATGGGGTACTAAGATCACTAGTAGCTTCTAAGTGAATCGCTTTAGTCGTGAAACAAACAAATAAACAGACATACCCTTTAGAAACTCGACAACCTCTGCCGCGGTAACTTTTAACATCAAAAGTTCCAGTAAAATCTACCCCCGTATTTGTGAAAGCGCGAGTAAATGTAGTGCGTTCCTGAGGAAGAGTTCACATAAGTTGAGTTTTTTGACCGTTTTTTAAAGATAATACATGTCTTACAATTATGGAAAGTTGACCTGATCATGTTCTTGACTTTGGGAATCCAGTATTGCGTACGGATGAGGCGTAGCATCAGTTGATTTTCTCCATGCAAGGACAATAAGGCGGCACAACCTGCTTTTATACGGGATAATGCTTGGGTGGCGTTCGTTGTATGCTAAGTCCTGGGATGCTCCAAGGCGACCTCCGGCTCTGATAATGTCATGTTCATCGATGAACGGATTAAGCGGAAGGATTTCACTCTTTGCATCGATTGGTTTTTTAGACTTCAAGTTTGCGTATTCTTCACCATAATAATGCTTCTGGTAGATTTTTATCAGGGTCTGTGTCGTTGTTTTAATTTCATTAGATGAAATTAAACAAGAGTTTTCCTGAAATGAATCTTTTGTTTTCGAATGAGTTCTTCGATAAAATCTCATAAGATATGATAAAACTCTCAAAGCTCTCGGTAGATCGGAAAAACGGTCAAGAATATCGATATTATTTGCTCTTGTTGTCGCATAAGTGTGTGCTCTTTTTTCTTCGACTTCTGTATGATAGTCTGTTCCTTGAGCGGGCCACTTGGAGTTGTCTTCTTGCAGCCAAGAAGGTCCCTGCCACCACAAAGAATTGTTGACCAATTCTGACGCAGGTAGTCCTCTGCTAGCCAAGTCGGCGGGATTTGAGGCCGAGTCTACGTGTAGCCAGTCCTTTTCCCCTACTTTTTCTACGATTTTCGTGATTCGGTGGGCGACGAAGGTTGACCAAGAACAAGGCGGGTTTCGTATCCATGCGAGTACGATGGTCGAGTCCGTCCATAGATGTGTCTTCACTGGTCCTAGGTTTAGGTTGTTGATTATAGATTCTATGATTTCTGCGAGCAGTACAGCTCCGCAAAGCTCCAGTCGTGGTAGCGATATAGTTTTGACGGGGGCTACTCTGGTTTTTGCCAAAAGTAGATTGACCAAAATTTTGCCATCTCTTTTGACACGCATATATGCCGTAGCCGCAAATGCTTTTTCTGATGCGACGCAGAAACCATGTATCTCGGTGGTGTCTCCAGGTGAGAAGTATACCCATCGAGGTATTCTGATATTATCTATTTCGTGGTAATGTCTCGTAAAATGCTGCCAACGTTCTAAAATAGTAGCAGACACAGTCTCATCCCAGTCTGTGCCTTCTAGCCAAATACTTTGCATAAGTATTGTGGCTACGATGACTATTGTTGCGAGCCATCCCAGCGGATCGAAAAGCTTGGCGATAGCTGACAGTATCGCCCTTTTCGTAATAGTGTCGTACTCCTCCAATGGTCTGGCAATAAAATAAAATAAATCCGTATGGGCATTCCATTTTATGCCCAGAGCCTTAACCGTGCTGGTGTCTTCGAATGCTAAGAAATGTTCGCTAAGAAGGTCCGTTTTTGGGATGTCTTTAAGAATTTCCTCACAATTTGAGGTCCATTTCCGTAGTGGAAAACCAGCTGATCGTAACACTTCTGAGATTTCATCTCTTGCTTTAATGGTAGAGTCGACGGTATGTCCTCCAGCTAACACGTCATCCACATACATGCACTTTCGTAGGATGTTAGATGCTATTGGGAAAGAACTCTCTACATCGTCAGCTAATTGCAGAAGTGTCCTTATCGCGAGGTAAGGTGTGCTATTAATCCCGACAGTGACAGTCTTTAATTCATATAGACTTACAGGTTCGTTCGGGTTTGTACGATAAACTATTCGCTGGTATTTGGTATGGTTGTTATTCACCCAAATTTGGCGGTACATCTTCTCGATGTCGCTATTAAAAACGTACCTATATAATCTCCAGCGGAGTATTAATATTGGAAGATCTGCTTGGAGTACTGGACCTGGGTAAAGTACGTCATTTAAACTTTTACCATTAGCCGTCTGGCTTGAGGCATTAAAGACGACCCGAACTTTCGTAGAGGTGCTTTCCGCCTTTATCACAGCGTGATGGGGTAGAAAGTAGTTATCGGAAGAGTCTGCTGAAATGCTGCCATTTATTCTGGACATGTGTCCCAGTGATTCATATTCTGTTAGTACCCTATTATACTCCTTTTACAGGACGGGATCCTTTGTAAGCCGTGTCTCATTCCGGAAGAACTGAGAGCATGCTTTTTTAAGAGAGGGGCCTAGGCAAATGTTTGCTGGAAATTCCTTCCTAAATGGTAGCGAGACTACATATTTTCCATATGGGTTTCTCTCAGTCGTTTTCCGATAAAGCTCTTCACAATACTTGTCGTCTTCGTTTAAATTTTTGTTTTTCGGTATATCTTCTAGTTCCCAGAAAGCTGTTAGTTGTTTATCCAAGGCAACTTCGCTATGATAAGAAACTATGTTGTTTGTTGGATTTGGTGCTTCTGTGCAACCGGTTAAAATCCAACCGAACACGGTTTCTTGGGCAAGAAGTGTACTGAGAACATTTTTCTTCAAGCCGCACAAAATAATTTGGGGATAAATGTCTCCGCCAAGTACTAGGTCTACTTCTTCGTTAACGTAGAACCTTTTATCTGCTAAAATCAAATCTGGAAATGCCTGCATAGTCATAGCGCTGATATGGTAGGATGGAAGATTTCCAGTTAATTTTGTCAGCACGAGCACTGTTGCATGTAGGCTAAACAGTAGGTCAACAGGGGACCGTAGTTCTATGTTGCATGCCTCCTTGACCTGAGCAGAAGTTGAATTCGTGATGCCTGAAACTTTGGCATACATATTCTTAGATGGCAGGTTGATTCTGCGTTTGAGTCGTTCTGTTATAAAGGAACACTCAGAACCAGAATCAATGAGTGCTCGTGCTGAAAAATCTGTACCATTGAGATGTATATTTACACGAGCCGTTCCTAAAAGTACACCTGAGTTCATATTTGCATAATTAGACTTAACGTTTTTTGCTTTTACCGGAGTTAGTTTTATTGAAGTTACGCCTTGCTGCAGCTTGTTTCGAGGTTGAGGCAACATCTTTGGCAGAGCTCGGTGGCGTTTGAGGCAGTGTTGCCTTTGGCGGAATTGTCTGGGTGTGAAGGAGCGTATGATGTCGCGAGTGACACGTGCCGCAATTGAAAGGGCTTGTGCATCTTGATACAGTATGTCCAGAACTCAGACAATTCAGGCAAGCATTGTTGCTCTTTAAAAACTCTATCCTTTCAGTTGGCGTTAGCTTTAGGAAATGGGAACAGCGGCGTAATTTGTGTTCATTTGTTTGGCACATTTTACATGTGTACTTGGTTACGTTTGTTTGGAACGCGCCAAGTCTTTTTGTGGGGGCTTCTGAGGGATGTCTGGTGTTTTGCGGCTTTGACGCTTTTACAGACTTTGTGCCTTTTATGCCTGACATGGTTTCCAAGGTTTGAAACCTATTCGATAGGAACTTGTCCAAGTCTTCCCACTTTGGTAAATCTTTCTTATGGTCTATGGTTTGTTCCCATAGAGCCAGCGTACAGTCGGGAAGTTTAGTTGAGCAAAGATATACAATAATTGTATCCCAATTCGATATGTCAATGTTGTGGCTCTTGAGGGCTGATAAGCAATTATTTATATCGCGCTGCAACTTCTTCAGTGAGCTACCACACTCACTATCTATAGAAATTAGATTAAAAAGAATTTTTAGTTGCTTATTTATGATACGCTTATTTTCATAACTCTCACACAGGTTATTCCAGGCCGTTTGAAAACCTTCATTGGTGAGTGGACATTTTCTTACTATGTCTTTGGCTTCCCCTTGAGTCTTCTGATTCAGGTGAAATAGTTTCTCAACAGGGGTGAGTCGCTTGTTGAGGATGTATATGGCTGTGAACATGTCACGGAACGCTGGCCTTGACAGATAGTCGCCCTTGAACACATCTGTGTCACACGGAGGGAGGTGAATATTGTGTTCACGAACCGACTGATCTTGTACATCCTTCTCTGCGTTTACAAGCGTGTCAGACTGACTAGCCATTGCCGACATGCATTTGACATAGCTGGAAAACGAGCCCTTATGTTTCCGTCTAATTGCTTTAATGTCATCTTTAGAAATTCCTTCATTATTTATGATCGCGTCATAAGCTACTTTGGTCTTTTCCCACAAAGCCTTTAGTTCGTCTTGCTGTATTGCAAGGCCGTGTTTGTTTTGCTCTGCGGCTGGTGTGCTACTGTAATCTGATTCAAATTCGATTACCGATTCTGCCAATCAAATAAAGGTTTCCATTGCGGTAATTGATCTTCAGATTACTCTTTACGAATTAAAATTTGTTGTAGTTTTCGAAAGAAGTATGTTCACTATAAGTAGGAATAGTAGTTCACTATAAGTAGTATTTTTTCAGAAAAGTGATAAGCATATGTATGTATATATATGTGTATGTGCTACTCGCCACCCAACACTGCCGACGAAGGTATATATATATATGTATGTATATAT